ACAATGTATAGTAGACATGAAGAATGTTAAAGAAGCCCAGCACCCTGAAATTGCCATTTACTGGTTGTGCCCTTTACAGAACTATCATCCCAAGCATGGATGATTGGAACTATGAGCAGGACCAAATGGCAATTTTTCAGATCTATGTCTTTTGTTACTAGGCCTTGTTCACACATGTTCCAAGGCTAAACACGGGGCAAACAGCTAAATAAACAGATTATTTGTTTATTTATTTCAGGTACTTATATAGCACAGTCAATTTACGCAACGCTTTACATATATTGTACATTCAAATCAGTCCCTAACCCTCAAGTGGCGTACAATCCAAGGTCCCCAACTTACATTCATACATATACATACTAGGGCCTATTTTGACAGGATCCAATTAACTTACCAACATATCTTTGAAAGATATATATTAGAGCTGCTATACCTGCCAATGGCTTAGTATTTCTGTTCATCCAGTCCTGGGATTTACATATGTAGCCACCCTATCATCAGAGGTGTCTAGTAAACTTAGGTCTGCTGGGTAGTACTTTTGCCCATGCCAATTTGTAGTCTTGCCTCTCTTTTAAGTTCAGGATTGCTGATGTTCCCTGCTGCCACCACTGGGTTTCACTGGCATTTAGGACAATAATTACAGGAGCGGTGCCAATCTTGGGCTACCAATTATTTATGTCTCTGACCGACCCAACAAGGACAGGGTCTTTTGGAGGGGACTGCAGGCTAGCCTTTTGCCTACTGACCATGGGCCCTGGCATCTGAGAGGGCTCTATTCTTTGGAAGGTGTGTTTCCTGGGGGACCTTTTGGAGTAGTTTTACTTTGTATTCAAGTCCACGTCTCCCTGAAACACAGACTCTGAGAACTGGAGGACCAGCAATCAGATTAGGGGTCTGTGTACCCAAACCAGCATTGACTGCCTCAACCCTGCCTCCTGGACTCAGAAACTCTAAGTAGATGTTAAAATAATCATCTCAAAACAACCTAATGTTGAGGTCTCTTGCTGTAATCTGTTTACTAAGGTGTGATGTGTTTACCATTGTGCCTCTTACATTGTTAATTGAGTTATTTGAGTCACCTATTGTTTTTGTCTGTTGGCTAGTCCTCCTGGAAGTTCCTACATGATGACATTAGTCTTGTGTCAATTTGACCTTCTTATCTAGTCAGTGTGGGATGTTTATCCCAATGTGTAATGAAGTGTCTAAAAACATGATCTGTATACGATCATGTAAGTTCCAGTTTGACCTAAGCTAGTGTCGTCCAGGCCTTGGGTGCAATGCTCAGCTATAATACCTTAGTCCTGTGTCTCAGCGGCAAGGAGCAGTTCTCTGACAGAGGCACTCAAGCAGGGTGCCAGGAGGTCTGTCACAATGTCCGCTCTGGAAACAACTAGAAGGTTGATGGTCAGAGATGCATGCTGAGGGAAAAAATAAATGCTTGGGGAGTGGCCTGGTAAGCTCTATTTCCCCCGGGCTGCAGCCTGGGGAGGTGTGTGCAGTATTTTGGTTGGGCTTAGAACAGAATCCTCAAGCTGCCCTGCCTGAATGAGGAGGGTACAGCACCCAAGGCCCATAGCCGGAGGATTGAAGTTCTGCTGGAAGTAAATTGTTGTCCACCCTTGGAGGATCCTGGCACTCTTTTGGAGGGAAAAGTGTTGCGGAATCTGGAGGAACCTGAAGCCCTAACCCTCTCCTCCCTTAAGTTGGAGCAATTCAATTTACAAAAGACTAAAGAGACTGATGCCCATCATTGTCATGGCTATCTCCACTGAAGCCATAAATCCACCCTTTGGTAACATAAACCTGCCCAAGTCAGGTGGGTTGTTACACAAAGCTCTGACACATATCACAGCCCTGTCTGAAAAAGCAAAAGCCCTGCTTTTTTTCTCTGCTGTTCAGGGGCGGACTGACCATTTGGAAACTCGGGCGGCGCCCGAGGGCCCGGGGTCAGTAGGGGGCCCCATGAGATGCCCCTGGTACCTTTTTCATAGGCTTTTTTGAGTTTGGGCAAGGACACAGGGGCTCCATGATCCCCTATTGCCCGGGGGGCCCATGAGTTGTCAGTCCACCCCTGCTGCTGATGTTAAGTAACACTTCCCTTCCTTGTGACTGGACAGTGAAAGAAGAAGCAGCAACTGATATGCTCACCTCTCTAACAGCCTGCTCTCTCCTCCTATCAACATGTTCCTCATTAGCACCTGAGCACTGTAGCACAACTGGCTCCTTGTGCTCCGTCTTCTTCTACCGGTCTGAGCACTGCTGCATAGGAATGTGCAAGAGGCTGATGTCATGTCAAGTACATTCTTATATTTTAAAAAAAACGTAATAACATATTAAGAAGTACAGAGCTGCATTAAAGTGTATCTAAAAGCAAAAAGTTTTCTTTGGTTTTGAATAGAGTGGAGAGGGATTAGAACACCTGTCAGCTTTTGTTGCTGTTTGTTCCCCTATTAGGGAGATTCACTCTCTCTATTTGTCCTATTTACCATTATCTTTGAAAGTGAAAGTAAAAGAAAATCCCAAATTTTGAGGTGACATCAAAACAGTAATAGAGGGGAAATCTTCCAATGAGACACTAATTCTAGTGACCCTGATGACACACTCAGATTCCCTTACTTCCAGTTTTGGCTATGGGACAGGAAATGAGGGAAAGTCTCCAAAATGGGTCATAGATGGCAAAAGAAGAAAAAAAAAAAGCAAGTGGATTACAAGTCCGTGTCCACTCTGCTTATGCAGAGCAGACTCGGACACAACCGCTCTTCTCTATGGGCTGTCGGATAGAAATGGACCTCCTGTCCATTTCCATCAAACTGTTATCCATTTCACCAGACAGATGGGGAATGGATCCCCACCCATCTGTTTTTATCAGATCAAATTGGATCAGATGCAGGCAGGTGTAAAAGAACACATGTCCTTTTACATTCACCGCTCCATAGAGAGCAATGGCGTGTCCAATCAGGTCCTCTTGAAAAACGGACAGGCGGACCCGATCAGTCTGTTCATGTGAAAGGGGCCTTAGACTGGATGTAAACATTAATAGAACCCCTGCATTGCTCCTTTGATGGACCTGATCATGATTGCAATGATCTGTAGGACATTTCACAAATGCACATTTTTTACTATATCAATGTTGGTGCATTAAAAATTTTTTGCAAAAGGTGATCTATGCCTTTAAGTTTTACAATGATCAGTTAAAGGGGATTTCCACAATCCGATATTTAGGGGGAAACACATCCTTTATGTGTTTATAAATAATTGATGTAAGTCGCACACTCTCATCCTTACTGATCAGCTGTTCCAATAAAAATGACAATCAGCTCCAAGGTTACCACTGCTCAGAGGCGCTCTTCATTTTCTAGCATAATGCAGCTTAACCTTGGAAACTCCATAAAAAACAAAAAAATATGTATTTGAGAAGCAGTGGCCTTGGACTGCTCAGCAGCTTTGCTTACAACTTCTTGCCAGGGTGCAAGCTGTGCTAACCCCACCAGGCTTTAATGTACATGAAACAGAGCAGTTTTCAAATTGATGTGAACAAGTGCTCCATTTAAAACCTTTACATTAAAAAGCTATGCCAAAGAACATGTGGAAAAGTGGAACTTTAGTCAGAAAAATTAGGTCCTGCTAGATTACTTCAGGCTGGCCTCTTTTTTAAAAATAAGTGACTATACTGTTTAAAATCCAGTAATACGCTGTCTCACCCTGCTCTGCACATGCTTCCTCTCTATTTTTAAGCAATGTGCCAAAAATCAGAGCCACTAGAGGCCGATCTGGTAACAGCCAAAAGATTTACTGCTGCTCAGGGGCTCTGGGCTCCAGCAAAATGGCAGCCTCCAGCAAGAAGAAACAGGAACAATGTAATTTACAGCACACACTAATTTTGGCAGCATAATTATTAAAGTGGAATGTATGTTTCTAGCTAAAAAAAACCATTATGTTTTATCAAGTTGTTATGGGTAAAGTTCCACTGTAACAAATACATGGAGCCTCATGTTGCCTTATTCCATTGCTAAGCTGCATCATCTGCCATCCCATGCCCTATAAGTGCGTCCTTCTTGGTCACCAAGGCAGTACTATTACACAGTACAATAACATTTGGGAAAGCTCAGCTCTATTAGCTCCAGAAACATACAACTAAATGAGAAAGAGGCAACAAAGAGCATTTGCTGGCCAATAAATGGAAAGGTAGGCATTTTGCAATGTTTCTCCCTAAAGCTGAAGGCATGGCAAACATCTAAATGCACAGATGGGATACATATTGGAGAGGTGTTTTAACTCCTAAATCATTGACTGCCGAATGAAAAGTTACATGGCCAGCATCCATGTTACTACACATCACCCCGTTTATGGCAAGGCACAGCACAGTGAAAATGATACAACCCGTCGTGTTTGGCAGTGGTGTAATGTACACAGTTGTGGTGTGCTGCTATGGGCTGTCACTAGTTACAACAGCCATTAATCTCTCTAACAGGCTAATACTAAGTTAAAGTGTATATCAAAGCAAAATAAAATAACAAAATATACTATATACTGTATGTGCAATACATCTCTGCAATACATACACATTTCCCTATTTTTGTCTCTTTAACTGCCTTCCGCCCGCCCTATAGTACAATGATGGGCGCAAGGTGGTTCTCTCTTTCTGATAAGACGTCATATGACGTCCTACCATTCTCACTACGCATGCGCGACTCAGGGAGCACACAGCGTGGTGATCGCCGGTGCGCTGTGTCCCTTGGACACAGCAGATCACGGAAAGTGCCAAGATGTCGGCTCGGTCATGTGATCAGCTGTGTCCAATCACAGCTGATCACACATGTAAACACGGAAATGCCGGTTATCGGCATTTCTCACCTCTTGAGCTGTCACTCTGACAGCTCGTGAGGAGAGGAGAGCCGGCAATCGGCTTTCCGCGGAGGGGACATGTACACTGATCATCAGGGCACTGATGATCAGTGTGCCCTGATGATCAGTGTGGCCCCAGAAGTGCCACCTGTCAGTGCTCATCCGTGCCACGTGCCAGTGCCCATCAGTGCCATGTGCCAGTGCCCATCAGTGCCACATCAATGCCACATATCAGTGCATACCAGTGCACATGAATGCCACATATCAGTGCCCATCTGAGCTGCCTTTCAATGTCACCCATCAGTGCCAGTCAGTTCCACCTATCAATGCCAATCAGTGCCACCTGTCAGTGCTGCCAATCAGTGCCACCTATCAGTGCCAGTCAGTGTTGCCTATCAGTGCGCATAAGTGACAGTCAGTGCCACCTATCAGTGCCAGTCAGTGCCGCCTAACAGTGCCAGTCAGTGCCGCCTAACAGTGCCAGTCAGTGCTGCCTATCAGTGCCGCCTATCAGTGTCATATATCAGTGCCATGTATCAGTGCTGCCTTTCACTGCCCATCAGTGATGCCTGTCAATGCCCATCAGTGCAACCAACTAGTGCCTCCTCATCAGTGCCCATCAGTGCCAGCTATCAGTGTCCATCAGTGCAGCCTATCAGTGCCCATCACTGCAGCCTCATTAGTGCACATCAGTGAAGGAGAAAAATCACTTATTTACAAAATTGTATAACAAAAACTAAGAAAAAACGTTTTTTTTTTTCAAAATTTTCAGTGGTTTTTGGTTTGTTTAAGAAAAAATAAAAATCCCAGAGGTGATTAAATACCACCAAAAGAAAGCTCTATCTGTTTCAAAAAAATGATAAAAATTTCATATGGGTACAGTGTTGCATGACCGCGCAATTGTCATTCAAGTTGCGACAGCGCTGAAAGCTGGAAATTGGCCTGGGCAGGAAGGGGGTATAAGTGCCCTGTAGGCTAGTGGTTAAAGGCCCTAGATGGCAAAGAAAAATACCTTTTGGTCTGTGAAAAGTGCAATCAGCTCTTAAAATTGTTGTAAACTTTAGAGATGAAATATTAATAAAGCATATCCCTCTATAGTGTGTACATTCCTCAATTAAGAGTACTACGGGGTTGATTTCCTAAAATTAGAGAGTGAAAAATCTGGTGCAGCTCTACAGAGAAACCAATCAGCTTCCAGATTATATTGTCAAAGCTCAACTGAACAAGCTGAAGTTAGAAACTGATTTGCTACCATGCACAGCTGCACCAGATTTTGCACTCTCCAGTTTTAGTAAATCAACCGCTAATGCAGGCCATAGATGGGTCGAAAATCGGCCGATTTTTCGGCCAAAAATAAAATCGGCCGATTTTCGGATCGTTAGTGGGCTATTTGGTCGGCCGTTTTTCGGGATTTTGGCGGGTTTTTTTTTTTTGTAAAGTTGGAAAAAAATCGGCCGATCGGCCGATTTTCGCGCGGCAATAATGGGCTAATCGGCCGATTTTTTACCGATAAAAAATCTGCGCATGAGCAGTGACCTGCAAGAGGAAGACAAAAAGAAGAAAAAGAAGAAGAGGAAGAGGATGAAGAAGAGGAAGAAGAAGAGGATGAAGAAGAAGAAGAGGATGAGGAAGAAGAAGAAGATGAGGATGAGGATGAAGAAGAAGAAGAAGAGATGAGGAAGAAGAAGAGGATGAGGATGAGGAAGAAGAAGAAGAAGAAGAAGAGGATGAGGATGAAGAAGAAGAAGAGGATGAGGATGAATAATAATAAGAAGAGGATGAAGAAGAAGAAGAGGATGAGGATGAAGAAGAAGAGGATGAAAGAAGAAGAAGAAGAAGAGGATGAGGATGAAGAAGAAGAAGAGGATGAGGATGAAAAAGAAGAAGAAGAAGAAGTAGGATGAAAATAAGAGGAATTCCAGTCCAGCAAAAAGTGTCTCTGCAGAGAGCTCCGCTATTTCTTTGACAGTTCTCTGACAGTTCCTTGACATTTACAGCGGTTGCAACATTGTATCTATTTGTTTCCGAATAAAAACATCTGTATCCTAAATGGAAACAAATAGATACAATGTTGCAACCGCTGTAAATGTCAAGGAACTGTCAGAGAACTGTCAGAAATAGCAGAGCTCTCTGCAGGGACACTTTTTGCCGGCTATAGACGGGATGAAAATCGGCCGATTGTTTTTACCATTGGTGGTAACGTCGGCCACTTGAACAACCGATTGTTCGTTTTTTTAAAAGAAAAATCGGCCGATTTTTGACCCATCTATGGCCTGCATAAGTGTCATTTTCGTCTGGTGCTTCATTCCTCTGCTATCAACATGAATCACTTCTTACAAGTTTTCCTGACACCAAGAGAAAATGGTGACAGGGAAGGGACCTCTAGCAGATTGACAGCCTCAGCTTTGTACTTGTGTGAAGGGGTGTGTGTCTCCTCCTTTCAATCAACTTTTAGAGCTCTCCTCGCTGAGTTCTGCACAGTGTAATTTCCGCTTCCCACCCCCTTTGTTTCTGAACTCTCAGACAAGCTTTATAAATTCAGCACATTGAATGAATGCATAGAAGAGAAAATGCTGATAAACAGGTACAACGTATGTAGGAAGATTTGTTTCATCTCAGTGTATCACCCGAGGCCAGTCATTTCACTGGGTATATGTAAGGGTTTACAACCACTTTTAGCCCTGGTGTAGCTGAAACCACACACCATTTAGTGGCCGGAATGGTGTCAGCCCTGCCTAGTGTCTTTTGCTACACTACTCAACCACTCCCATTCTCAGATATCTAAAACTACGAGGACTCTTTGAAAACAACACAGGAAGTGTGCAGAGGCTCTGAATTTTTGAAATTGTCAACACATTTTTTTTTGTACCTATCAAAAAGATATAGCACTCTGCTTCCAATGGTATATTAAATAAACCTAAAGAGAGCAAATCTAAGAAGTTCATTGTTAGGGTTTACATACACTTTAAATAGAGGGACTTACACTAATCGTATAAAAATACACATGACTTATTATACATGATATACTGTACATGACTTATTATTGAATACAGAGCTGCTTGGAGTTCAGGCAGGAATTTTTCTTTTCATTTGTAATACATCATCACTTTAAAAGAGGAAGGTGGAAAATACAGTTAAGACTTTTGCCTATTTTGCTGACACTGAAATAATAATTAAAATGTAATCCCATGCTATTTGAATAGTAAAGTGTGAACCTTCTTGAAGCTGATAGATAAGGAAACAAATACTAAACATAAAACGTTATTCTTGTAAGCACTTTTGAGGAAGTGTATTTCTTTTCCTCTTTATCAGGTACCAAATACAAAGTAGAGGATGCTAAGCAGCCAGTCACAGTGCAACATGCTGTGCTTCTTTCAGAGTGGTAGATTCTGACTGGTTGCTTTTGTGGCTTGCTGCTTCCACCAATATTTTTCAAATAGACCTCCTGAAAATATTGGCCTAACTTAACAATGGAGGAACCCTTGAAATAACGTTCAAGCTCAAGAAACCTCCGCTTAAAGTGATATTATAATTCATTAATAACAATCATATCATACTTACCTGCTCTGTGCAGTGGTTTTGCACAGAGTATCCCCAATTCTCTTTGTCTCAGGTCTGCCGCCAGCAATCCTGGCTTCTCCCCCTTAACCAGTGCTCCCGCTTGCTATGGAGCAATGGTGTATGCTTGCTCCCAAGCTCTACTCTATGCCTCCATAAGACATATGGAACTGTGGCTCGGCCCCTTCATTGGTTCAATGGCTGTGATTGACTCACTGGCTGTGTCTCAGCCAATAAGAAGAGAGCGACCGAGGCTCCCAGGCACATCGTTGGTTCAAGAGGGGGCTCAGATGAGTATTAAGGGGGCTGTGGGGGGAGCAGCACATAGAAGTCTTCAAAGGTAAAAAACCATCAGCCTTTACAACCACATTAATGTATCTAATTAATCTATTAATGTATCTACAGCTCACTGTATATTAGTGTGATGGCCACTGTGAAGGTTGCTCCTTAGATTTGTGGTCAGTGGGAAAAAACACCCCCTTACAGATAGCTAAAAAGGTCATTGGTGTCAGTGGGAACTTATCTGTGGGGCATACATTCCTCCTTGTACAAGGAAACCTTAACAACCACTGGAAGAACCATGGTTGAGATAGCCTCGTGTAGCTTCTGTAAGTCTTCACTTTCTACTGATACTATAAAAAAAATGATGGTAAAACTTATAACTCTTATTTATTGAAGCTACATCTTACCACCTATACCTCTAGGGGAATTTCCGGTAAACACCAGTAAATGTGGGATCAGGGCAGACTGACAACTCATGGGGCCCCCCGGCAATAGGAGATCATGGGGCCCCTGTGTCCTTGCCCACACCCAAAAAATCCTATGAAAAAGCCAATGAAAGGTACCAGGGGCATCTCATGGGGCCCCCTACTGACCCCGGGCCCTCGTGCAGTGCCCGAGTCCTCGAATGGTCAGTCCACCCCTGTGTGGGATAGATGGTTAGATTTTAGATATTCTTTAATGACACATTGTATTGGCTGCGTACCGTTAGTCTACTGGTGAAATGGACTAAACAATGACTTTAGTTTATGCCTATATATGACATCTACATATGAGTAGACTGTAATTTTGCCTCCATGTAACCTGATTATTAATTTTTTTTTATTTTATGTATCCATCCACAGTGTATAATCAGATCACTCCCATGCTAACCCAAATGTAGTGATCTGAATGTTTTTTTTTTTTTTTTTTACTCAATACACAATATATTAAAAAAATGATGCTACATCCTACATCTGTATGCTTTGTAATCTTTACATTAAGGCAATATACAAATTCAACTGGTATATTGCAGACATACAGTAGGTGAAGGAAATACTGTAACTCTTAAATTGGTTACATTCTCTCTTTGACAGACTCACATCCATTAGTCCAGAGCTGCTGCTCTGCAATTCCTCATTTCCAACACACACACACAGAAAGTGAGACACTTCAGAGAACGCAGATGGTCTTTTTAACCAGATACATTACAGTCTGTCATTTCTTATCAACAGATCTGAGTCAGTACTAATGAGAGTAAATATAGACACATTTTACAGAGACAGCATGTATTAAAAGCCTGTCCTGCAAGTGGCTAAAATGTGTTATTAACGCCACACTATGCAAGGGATGGTAGAGAAAGATAAAATAGCATCATAATATAAAAGAACATGAAACATCTTCACTGGCATAATATGGTGGTTGCTAGTAAAGCTATTTTTGATTTAAAAGGAGATGGAGCCCCCTTCTGAGCGGAGTAGATTAAGTCAATACACAAAAAGCTATGCACATGTGTAAAGGAGTACTGAAGTTCAATTTACAGACAGAATATTAGATTAAAACATGACTTTTGAAACTCTAACCACACTGACAAGCTGCAGCATTACAAGGTCTGCATGTGGTATAAGATGCATTCTGCTGCAACCCGAAGCCCTGAATCCTGGTCTGCTGTAACCAAGACATTCTGATACTTCCCGGTA